GACAACAATACTTTTTGCCTGAATTAATTATTTACAATTAATTTTACTAAAAATTACCTATGTGGTAATTGATTTTCAATACCCTGTTATTTTGGCATGTTTCGACCGGTAGACACGTCAATGTCGGAGGAATTTCTGTCGGACAAATTTAAATCGGCATTTGCAACAAAATTTCCAGTTACTTAAGCTAAAAATAAAAGATGTGGTCTTGAGTTTTCAAGACCCCGGAAAATTGCCATGTTTTTGGACTTTTCCGAGTGGAAAAGCGGAGGAATCGAGAAAAGTCGCGGAGGAAAAATTTGGTAAACTCGTCAAAACGAAGCGCCTCAGGAGTTATAAAGTATGTGGTAATCAACTTTCCAGAGGGGGCCTGTACTGTGGACTATCTCATTTTCTGTCGTTTTTATCGTTTACCGATCTACGCTCTGCCTCTGTAAATTAGCAATATTTTTTTCGGTTGTCAGTTAATTAGTAATTGTTAGTTATCACGTCTTTTGGTGATTTATCGAAGGATTTTTTTTTATATCTTGTGTACTTCATTATGTATACCATACATGATTACCACGTTCTACTAATTTATAAAGAATTTTACCCATATGAAGTATAATTTAGAGTCAACAATATTCGAATAGACGTTTACCATAGTCATTTGTTGCGATATTTTAGTTAGATACTGTGAGTGTTATTCCTCGCCCTGATAGAAGTGCACAGATATATTGTTGACGATAATCCCGGTGTAAGCACAAGAAGAATTGATAATCAAACAGGTGTCTCTAATACAACATTACAATTAATTGTTGTAACTATATCATGTCCAACGAGTGCGGGAGCTGACAGCTGTAAATTTTCAACATAGAAAGAAATCCTTCAGGTGGTTTTTAGATAAGAAAACATGTTTTTAATTTTTATAATCTTAGGATAATGATATCAGTTTGTGTATACTAATTTTCTACACAAATGTTCTGTTAATGTATGGATCAGCTGAGTAAGAGACTAATTAATTAGGCACTTTATTCTTTTCAGGAGACTAAAAGGGCTAAACTGTTAATTATTTAATTATTGCATTGCCAGGAATGCCAAGTCTGTTAGAAGATGTTCCATTCAATATTCGACAAAAGATGTATTTACACGATGTAGTTCCTACATACATCACTGTTGGTTTGGAAGACTGGATCACTGGACTGCCCTCTGACCGGATATGCAACCTATAAATTTTTATTTGTGGGGTCGTATATAAAAACAATCTAGTCCAGTGAAGTTGAACACATATGCAATCTGTTTATGAACAACGCCTTATTCGTTTTTCGGTATTTACATTATAATTTACGGCACTTATAGTCCGTATGCCTAAGTCAGATTTTTCTTTTTTTAAGCAATATTGTCAGAGTAAAGATAATAAAAATGGGCTTTCAATTGTGAAAACCTGAAGTTTATGTTTTACAGTTATTGAAATGTAAATATTTTTGGGCACACTGAACTATTTTTATCGATTTATTATTATTTTTTATTTATTTACTGCCGTTTGTAAATGAATATCCAAAATGAGAAAACAGCTTTGAAAATTTGACTGTACTAGTAAAATAGTTAGAGTTCAAGTAATGAAAACTAAGCAATTGCAATTTTCTGCTTTAATAAACAAATAATGTTTGTTTATTTGCCCCTTTCCCGTCCCGGATCTGCGCCAGTGCGAGTCACTCACCTAACCTGGGCAAAAACTAGTTGTGGTCTGCTGTTTAAAATATAAATATACATGACTTACATACTGTACAATCACCACAGCACACAACACTATGGTTAATTCATGGTTTGTGCTTTTCGCTTTGTTGGAAAAAACATCACTCAATCCGAAATTTATTGCTGTAAGGTACGGGATACGCGAACCAAAACGAATTTGATACGGTAGAAATGGTAATTTGCGAAGAACACATACAAGGTGTCTCTAAATAAGTGTATAAAATTAAATAAATCGAGTTCTTATCGAAAAATAGTTTCTAAAAACGTATACTATACTTCTCTATGTAAGATACAGGGTGTCAGAGATTCGGATGGAAATAATATATGCAATGAAAATGTAAATTTGCGCCAAGAAAAAAGTTGTGCTATTTGCAGGAAAAATTAAAAACTGCAAAAATACTCAAAAATTACGTGTTTTTTCTCACTTTTCCCTATATAACTTATTAAATATACAGTTTACAGAAAAAAACATTACTGATGAAATTGTTTGTTATGAAATTTGCTACAAGATAGGGTTGTATCATATTTTTGTTGGTAGATAGTCAAAACAGCGTGAGAAAGTGATGAAAATCGAGGTAATTTTGAAGCGTTTAACTGACAGGTCCCTAAACCCGATCCAAATCGGTTTGATGGTTTTGACATGAGCCAATTTGTTATTTCAGCGCAAAACGTCGTTATTTTTTTACGTCAATGCTGAGGTTAAAGTTATAGGCAATAATTGGCGCTGATTTTTTTACACATATTTAGACCCCTTAACTATCATATAGAATCGTTATAATATCAATTTTCATTTTTTTTTATAATTTTTTTAGCGATTTTAAAAATTCGAAAAATTTTGATTTGACTTTATAAACAATTACTTTTGTGAAGCGGTTTTGCGGGTTGGAAAATATATCAAAGTGCTAAAAAAACAATTCTCGGAAAGACGCTTAACTTGAAAAAATAGAACGTTCAAATTGGTCGTATAAGTTCCCAGATATCGAGTGTCAAAGCGTTAAATGCAAAACTATGCACAATGTAACAACAAAAATTGAACTTGGTAGTTTTTTTTAAGAACTTTTCGTATGTGCTTTTATAAATATTATTGTACGTGTACTTTTTGTATGAAAATTCAATGAATATGAATATCGCCAAGCCGACCATTTGTGCTGCAAAACCGGGGGGTAGGGGATGAATTATTGAAATTGAAATCGCGCGTTCAAAAAGAGCGCGCGCGCTTTGGCGCTCAATATCTCGGCTTCTATGGCTCCGATGTTGATGATTTTTTTTTAAATCGATACAGCAAAATATATTTGAATTGTCAATAATTCATTTTTACATAATTAATTTTCGCATATTTTAAACAATTCATTCGGCAATGAGGCAATGTCTCAATATTTCTACATATAATATCACAACTATTAAATTTTATTAGTTTTTTTTTTTATATAAATAGCACAAATTAATATCTGTCAAGTCATCATTTTGGGGTAAACAAGGACATTGATTACGGTATAGTCTTTCCGAAGTCAGTTGAACATGTATAAAACCGTCTATTTAGCAATAAAATTTAATGTTTCATAGGCGTCCCTAAAAAAGTTTTCTGCTAAAGGTAAAAAATTATAATAATTTGTATACAGGGCGTTTGTAAATAAGTGCGAAATATTTTCGGGGGTGGTTGCCGATGTTATTTTGTCAAGAAAAGTTCATGTAAACGTAGTTCGAAATATGCCTCGTTTCCGAGATAGTGTTAAATTTTAATTTTTTATTTATTTTTATTAATTATTTCAAAGGGTTTTAAAGATATTGATTTGAAATTTGATGGTTGTATTTTATTTAGAAGTATTGACAGCAACCTACTAGATAATGTATCAATAGAAATTAAAAATACACAACTTGCAGTAAAATATGTTTAATTTTTTTCCTCAAAAAACGGTGCATTCTACGAATAAAATTGAAGTGACCAATTTCACTCAAAATTGATGGCGGATTTCTAAAAAAATAGCAAAACGAGAAAAAGTCAGTGGTGTACTATTTTTTTTAATTAAAAATGGTTGGGGCATTCTCGCACGGACGCAACTGGTACAAGTAGAAGTATTCGGATCACCTCACAAAATGCACATTTATCCCTCCAAAACGTGTTTAAAATTTTGAGTCAATATCTTAAAAACTCTGAAATAATTAATAAAAATAAATAATAAATCTGTATCGCGGAAACGATTTAACCAACAACATATTTTATTTATTTATGTCCTCAAACAATTTTCTTATATTGATGGCAAATTTCGTTTTGTTCCGTTTCAAAAGGTCTCCAAAATGCTATGTTGCAAAATAGAAGGTGCCTATAATAAATTAAAATTACCTTAATCACACCAAATTCCGCATTGCTGCACTGCACTGCTAGGCCATCTGTTGACAAAATAATTTATGGCCACGTGGCCCAGTGCGGCTGTGTTTGTGCCGCGTTTGCCCGCGTGCTCATTCTTCAACTGGGCGACTAGACCTGTAGGTAGGTATATGGGTATGGCTAAATAAAAATGGGAACAAGTTTTTCAAATATTTTAAAGCCGAGTTGCAGCGTCAGCGACCCAACCTGGCACATACTGCCAACCTCTTGGTTCTTCAATTGAAATCGGAAAGACCAACTTTAACAGAGCCGTGAAAACTGTCCCAAGATAATAAAAACTAATAACAAAAAATCCGATTTAATGGCACGTTTTTGTACTGATGGAAAAGCGAAGGGCGAAGGTCAGCACTCTCTATCCCTCTCGTGCGCATAACTATATGGTTGTGAGCAAAAATAACTTTAGGGATTAATTTAATAATTGTAGAATCTTAGTTCTTCCTAGAAGCGGACTCGTAAATTCCTCCGAAATGCGCACAATCCCAGGCTCAATTGAAAAATTGCTGTTTATTGCAAACCGCTCTTAACAATGGAAATAATGAGACCGTCCTAATTTAAATGCCGGCGCACGGATAATGATAAGAATCTGTACAAAGGGGTGACAAAGCACCGGAAGTGTCTTATTAACTCTGACTTCTCGATTTCAATCGTAGCTAACTTGATTTAGTGCGCATTTGGGTGCATTGCCAAACGTTAGGCGTTAGGTGCTTTACAGCTGTCTCTATAAACGCTGTTAAAAAATGAAGTTGCTGATTTTGTGCTGTGTGCTATTTATTTTGACCAATTTTACTGCCGACGTTGTCTGCAAGAGAGGCAGATCTAAAAGTCGTGGTGGAACCAAACATACCTCCGGTCAGTATTTCGAATCGTTATAAATAAAAAATAATTATACAATGAAAAGGTAGGTTCGTTATAAAAGATGTAACTGATGTGTATCATTTTTATATATAAAATTGTTGCAATGAATATATCTTTTACCGTGTTCGAGAATTTTTTTCTTTGTAGGTAACTAAAGAAATTTCCATAATTTCTAATGAAAAACTACAGTAAAAACAAATTTAGCAGTTACTAGTTACTACGTAGAAGGACTATACTTTATTAATAAATTGTTTTGCTTTTAAGTGACACCTGCAGGTTTGCAGCAAGCTTGAAATTCGGATAAATGTCAATAGATGGCGTAAAACAACAATAATTTGTGTGCAATAGTTTTTACATATTACTTATACTCGTAAATACTTCAGCTACAGGATATAAAAATAAGAGGTTTGAAAGAGAAATGTTGGCAAATAAACATATATTTTCATATTAATCAATTGATTTATTTTATGTACTTTCATGTAACTATCCTACTGATTTAATTTTCTCTTATCTCGTTCTTTTAGGCAGTGATTGCGGCTGGCTTTGCAGTGGCAATAAGAAATCACCGCCATCTCCAAAACAATCAGTCCCTCCACCAAAGGCAACTGCGCCCCATTCGGACACATTCATCAAGAAAGAAACGGCCCATAGTCAGCAATCTAGTAATGTCCAGCGACACATAGGATGGAATGTGCCTGGTACTAACCAGCATCAGAACCCTCAGACTCAGAACAGCGGTTGGAAATCAGGATATCAGTCTTCAGGTTTGTAGTTTTTCAAATCTGTGAGTACCGATTAATTGTAGTGAAAATATATGTACATTTGCCAACGACTTGCCAATTCAACGATATATTAAATTCTTCCCAACTTGGTTGGTAGTGGTAATCACACGTTTTTGACTTGGATAAATTTTTTATGTTACTAGGTGCAGCTCCGCACCAGCAAAATTCTTACTCCCCCGTAGGGCACCAACCTCAAGGAGCTTGGCCATCTCCAGGACAAAGTCCTCCTGGATATCCACAACAACATGGGTATGGGCAACAACATGGTTATCCACAACAACATGGATACCCACAACAACATGGGTACCCACAACAACAAGGATATGGCACAAATACTGCACCTGGACAGTACAATGGCATGGGTGGGTACAATGGCCATCATGGGATGGGTGGATATCCTGCACAAGGCGGATATCCAGGAATGGGTGGATATCCGGCACAAGGCGGATATCTAGGAATGGGTGGATATCAGGGAATGGGCGGTCATTCTGGTATGGGTGGTTACGGTGGAGGAATGGGATATCCTGGGATGGGCGGTTTTGGCGGAATGGGTGGAATGGGCAATTCTCCTTACGGTATTGTAGATTTAAAGATGTAACATATGAGAAATAAAAATCAGTTTTTATCAGGAATGTATAAGAAAAAAAGTTTCTTCAGCGGAAGTACTATTACCAACGTAGTAGCAGGTATGTTCGTTTACCATATGGCTTCGAACCTGGTCGGTGGATTATTTGGTGGTGGATCTTCAAGAAGGCCTACCAATGTGTATAATTATTACAATCAACCACCCGAAGCCAAAGAAGAAATAAAATTGCCGTCTAATATTCTTACTCTGTGTGAAGGCAACTCAACAAAATTATGTACACCAGGTAAATTTTTGAAGTAATCATTTATGAACAATGTTTGTATAAAAAGCCGCACTAGGCATCCTTAAGGTATACCCAATATTCTACAAATTAACTTGAACATTTTTTTTTATAATTTCAGGTACCACCGCCATATGTACAACAAACAGCACGGTCTTATGCGTCGCCATTATGTCGCAAGCACAACCGTGTGCTGAAGAAAAAGCTCTTTGCATTAATACCACGATACCTTGTGTAGATCCAGATAATCCGCTTTGTCAAAATGCTACACAAACGCAGAAAGAAACCCCGATGAACCTGCCCTGTTTCACAAATCTCACAGCAGATGTGAACCTGTTAAATGAAACCAGCAATGGACAGAATACAGATTATAAGTATTGTGTGACTGCGATGGCGGTTGCCGGTCCTGAATATCAAGTTTGTAATGATATAGACAAAATTAGTGACTACAGAAGTGTTTTGGAGGGTAAATTTATATTTTTTTTATTGTTTTGTGTATTAATGTCACATATTTTTGTTTTCTTTCAGAAAACTACAAATGGAATCTGACAATACACCCGCTGAGACAACCGTACAATATCTACAACTTCAAACATCCTACAGAAACGCCTTCTGGTGAAGTAGTGATGCCCATGGAAGTTCTAATACCGTGCGTGGAAAATGCGACGAAACTTTGCGTTCCAGGAGTTACACCTATCTGTACAACCTTTAGCGAAATAATGTGCCTAGAACTGCTCTCATCCACATCTTTTTGTGAAGAATACAACACCACTTGCATAAAACATAAAGTACCTTGTCTTGAAGATGATCCCTTGTGCAAAAACAAGACCGAGGAAGAGTTGATTAAAGAGGACGATAAAACGTTGATATCCGTTGAACTGCCTTGCTTTGCTAACCTTACCATTAACTCAAACCTGCCGAATTTCGATATTAGTTCGTTCAATGGTACATTTCCCGAGAGTGCCAATACAAGTTACACCTACCATTACCATTACTGCGTAACCACGTTGGGCATTCCTGGTCCACAAACTGATGTATGTCTCACTACTCTACCCGATGGAAAATCAAGCGGAAAGTAGGAAGTGGATCGAGATATGTGAAACGAGGAAAAATTCATTTCAAAATTAGTTTTTGGAATATTATTAGAAAGTTTTTAAATTAGTCTGCCCCTTTTAAAATATTAAGACAACACTGATAAAGCTAGTGACTATCACGGGTTGCAGAATATTTCGGTACTTCTCCTGAAATGTCGGTAAGTTTAAATTGAAACTCCATTGTGAAGATAAGGAGTTTTGTTGGATGATTGTCATAAGCAATAGGAAAATATCACAAATAAAATAGAGCAGACAATTTAATATACCTGTAGTACTACTTATACTTTTGTAGAGTGTAGTGAAATAGATATTATATACTTATTAGTATATGTATTATTCTCATAATTTTATTTTTGTTGTTTCTTAAACTTCTTCATTGCACTGCTATCTAGGTAGGATATAGAAGCATATTCAATATTCAAAATTATTAAAACTGCAAAACAGCACTTAATATTAATAATAATCAAAATTGATAAAACTGATTGAGAACCTCTGGAATAGTCCCTGGTTTACATACTACATAAAAAGAGGTGAATAGTTGTCCCCACGAATATTTGCAGCTTTTTTTGTCCCATTTTTTTTGTAGTAAATAGAAAAATTGCTAATTCGGTTGAAGATAATCAGTTCTAATTTTGTTTTAATTAGAGAAACTTGTCTTTTGTTTGAAAATTGTTTGTGAACAAATGTTTCAGGTTTCAATGATATAATTTATTTTTCTAGGTTCTTAGTTGAGTTTTTTTTATATTAAAGGTAGTGTGTATAATAATAAATGGAAATAAATGTACTAACATGGCCCATCAATAATTAATTAATGGACATAATGGTAGGTATGGATATACTAATGAAAACGGCGAATTAGCTGCACATCTTTATTAACAGCGATTTCCAAATAGACATGAACCAACATTGAACAACAGCGGTTCCAAAAATGTTTCCTTATTATGGTGTTAAGTTGTGGAATATTAATTTAATCTATATCCCACAGTTTCTCTTAAAAATCCACCTATTTGTTTTTCTTTTTGTTTTTAATCGAGGAAAATGGGTTGTGGACGTGTTTGTACAAGGATAAGTAAAATTGGATCAACATTCTCATAAAATATATTTACAGAAATAAGGTTATGTAATTATTAAACCTAAAATAAATACATTTTGAATAATGCAATAAAGTACTTTTCAACTTAGGTATTATAAAAAAATAAGTAACATTTTTCTACTAGCATTAATATCACAAACATATGTCAATAATGTATAACTGTTAACTAAATATTTATTTTCACAAATATTTCTTTTTTTTATCGTTAAGAGTAGTTAATGGAAGTTTAAGATGAAGCTGGAATACTTTTTAAATATTAGTTAAAATTTTATTAGTTATTATACCACTGATATTTGATATAAAGGAGTAAACACTACTCCGTCATGTGAAACAATCAGTGGTTAACAGTTAAGCACATAAAATTAGAAGATATTTAAAGTCCATCAAAAAATTTTTGAGAGTTGAACGATCCAAGTAAGATCTAATAAAAGGCAGGACAATGATATATTTAGTTAGGAAGTGTGTTAGTTTTTTATCATTTAGTTGGCATTTTATTTATGAAATGCAACAAACTCATTTTTACAAAATAAATGTTTAGTTTCTCTTATTGTTTAAGGGGGAAACCACGTTAGGAGGCTGATTTTCAGGCGTCCCTCATGAATTTTTTTCGTCTGACAAATTGATTAAAATTTAATCAAACACTGACAGTATTTTATCAATGTTTTGAACTAGACTTACAAATTTTTTCAAGACATTTGTGTTGAAAATACCAAAATTATAGGCTGTTGTCCACCGAAGGTCGTCGTCTGAGTTGGTTGTTCACGGGAAATGTGGACGTCGCAATTTTGATATGAAAGCACAATGGTTGTTTTCCTGCATTATAATAGTATATTACGTAATGTGTTATAAAAAGCATATTACGCACGAATGGAAAAGTGCGTAATTGCATTACACCACGTATTATATAATATACTTTACCTACGACCACTACTGTAAATACTTAAAAACACGTCTGCGATCAATGTAAGATTCCTATTACATACGGTAAAAAATCGCACAGCTTGTTAAAAAAATCGTACAGTTTTCCTAGCAACCGCCTAGCAACTGTCAATACAAACAGTATTGTATTGATCGTTGCTAGGCGGTTGCTAGGAAAACTGTATGATTTTTTTACCAAGCTGTGCGATTTTTTTACCGTACGTAATAGGAATCTTACATTGATCGCAGACGGTGTGTTTTTAAGTATTTACAGTAGTGGTCGTAGGTAAACATGTTTTCTAAGAATATGAACCTCATTGCGGATAAAAATTGTGAAAATTTAAGTTTTGACACGTGTTTGAAAATGATGTATCGATTTTCACCATTTTTTTTCACTTATTTTGAATAAATAACACTTAAAATTATGATGTGTAGGTACACATGCATGTGACCCTTTTAAATATCACGTTGGTATCATCACTTGAGGGTTGCTTTTGGTGTGCGGCAAAATGAAACTCTCTCTCTCTCTCTTGACGGTAAATAAAAGGTATCTTTTAATGAAAACATGAGTGCAGTAAAAAGAAGAGGTGCGTGGGTACACATGTCTGCATGTGACCATTTAAATATCACATTAAGAGCACCAGCCTGGACCAGTCTGACAATTGCAAGCGACAAGAAATGGACGAAAATGTGTAATGCAGGGCACACACACTATGGTTCCAGGAAAAAGGCCAGCAAAGTTGGTAGATTGACGTCAGGGACTGGATACTGATACCTGCTAGTGACTCCACAAGGGGACTCTCCAACGAAGGCTTGCCCCGACAATTTTTTCTTTTTACTGCACTTGTATGCAGTAAACGGCTGTTGGAAAAATAAACCTCTAAGGCAAACACCGCTGCTCGTTGTTCCAACGCATGATGACGACAGAAACACAAGTTAACAAAACTTTAGGATCCCCCCTTTTGAACGAGACCATGCACAGCCGCCTGAGACTCTCATCAGCTTCAAAGCGCTCATTTCAAATAAGGAAGTTATCTTAATAATAATCAAAATTGATTAAACTGATTGGGAACCTCTGGAATTGTCCCTGGCTTACATACTACATAAAAAGAGGTGAAAGGTGGTGTATTAATAAATGATAATGAATGTACTAACATGGCCTGTAATAATTAATTAATGGACAAGGTAATAAGAGGCAACGTTATCGGTGGAGTCAGCGGTTACAAAAATGTATCTTTGTATTATTGTGGTGTGATAAAAAAAAGTATTTGCAAAAAATATATCTCCAACGAACGCTCGCCCCGACATTTCTTTTTACTGCACTTGTGTTTTCAATAAAAGATACCTTTTATTTACCATTGACAGAGAGTTTCATTTTGCTGCACACCAAAAGCAACCCTCAGAGATCATCCCAATTGTTGGTTTATGTTCTATGTAATTTAATAAAGAAACACACTTTCAATGTTCATAATGATCGGTTCATAACTTTTTCAGTCAGAGTTTCCGTGAATCAAAAAAATGTTGTTTTGAGAAAAAGGAGTGAAAATTTCCGAAAACTAAAAATATGAGAAAGTTATCAATAATATACACGCTTTCCGATCAATCAGCATTTCTAGCACCATATAACAGTCCTTAGACCCGTTGCACACATGATGGACCCGGCTAACCGGATCCAGTTGTCTGCAGCAAAGTGTACAGTCTTATGGCAGCTTTCACACGTGACGGAAGGAGTTATCCGGCAAATGGCTGCCGGGTTATGGCCGGTCGCCACCACTGCTAGCCCGGCTGCCGTGTACTGGCTAACCGGCGACCGAAGTGGTAGTAGTGAGTAGATTTGTAATGACGCTTTCACACTTGCCGGTTTCAGTCGTCCGGTTTCATTCAAAAGAACAGGACGGGTCAATTATTTTTTTATATATTTCTATGCAACTATCTTGAATGTTTGTATGCTAGAAGTAGATACTGAAAGGAGGAAATTGACATTCTAAAAGAGTTACAAAAAAAAATTCATAAAGTCGCAGAATTTCAAACACTATCTAAAATGCTCTTCCCTTTCCATATTTATTGGATGCACCCAATGAAACCTTTTTTTTTTATTACGACAACATCGGCAGTAGCCAAGCCAAATAATTGTAATGTGTGTCAATTCATCTCTTCATCTTCATCTCTTATCAAAATGTAACTGAGACTAATATCGGCCAAACCGGTTTGAAAATTAAATTACGTGTAAAAAAGGTCCGGCAAGTGTGAAACGACGCTTAGTCTTCCTCATAGGCGTCATTCTGAGCTTGCATCTGCTCTTTTCTTGCTTAATAAGTGACTCAACTACCAAACAAGCGCTCCATGCTACCTGCTGTAGGCCCGAGCGCTGACCCGATGGACCTTCGGTTTTAGGCTCATAAAATCGGAATGAATACAAATTTCATTTTAAAATTTTGGCAGCATATTCTTGAATAGTTATATTAACAATTTATGCAATTAAAAAAATCCAATTTTTTGAACCTCCTAATATTGTTTCCCTGCTTAACTGCATAACATGCAATAAAGAAATACGAACGTTTTTATTACTGAAATTTCTGCACTACCGCAATAAAACTCTGACGAAACATTATTTATGACTGTTTTACATGTATAAGCTGATCTACCCCGCATATTTGTTCGTTTTGTCGAGAACATTTGGAATTTGGACACCTCTTTGTTTTAATAACAGAAATTTTATTGTTTTAATATGGTTTTATATGTGTTTTAATAATTTATATGATATAACAGTTTCTGTGAATTAAGTACCGAATTTTACGAAAAAAAAAATCTTCATCCATATATTACCACAAAGTAATTATTTGTAACATTTTTGCAAAAACAACCTGTGCCTAAGATGAATTTGTCACACTCGAAAATCATTTAACTCTCGAGCACTTTTAAACGGACTGATAATGTAAATTTTAGTATCGAATTACAATTTTTTATAACCCAATAGTAACTAACTTCCATTACTGTTTCTTTAATACTGTTTTTTGTCAACTATTTCATTTGTCATTGCTTTTGTTACCCTATTACTGTTAAATTTGTCTTTGGTTTAAAGGAGGAACAAGAGTAAGCGTCAAATCAGCAGTCTGAAGTTTTTGTAATGTGAAATGAATCTTCAAAGGTATCTTATATATAACATTCATTTCTTCTCTCAAATAAAAACACTAGGCCTACTATACATCGGGCCTACTATACATTGCACCTACTTAGATACGACTCGTCAAAAAAATCATATCGTTTTTAGAACATAATTATGATTAACACAACATTCTGAATATATTTCATCCTTCAAGCTATGCTTATGAACTGGAAAGAAATGAAAATACATACTTTCATACAACTGAAATTCTAGAGAGACATTAGGCCATAAACAGTTAAGTTTTAGCGCAAAATTAAAACTATCAGTAATCTAGCTACGCTGAAGCTGGCGGAGAGATTTGAGTGCTTTCCTCAATTAATTTCATAACGATTAATTCGAATATCTGTAGAACTACGTCTTGGTTGATCGTTTGACTTTGGATGGAGGAAACGAAGAGAGTGAGAGATTTAACAAGCGTCGATTTTCCAAACGTCAATTTTACGGCATCTAAAACATCAGTTCTTCTTTAGTTTGACTGAATTTTTATTTTTATCAATAGCATGGCACATTAACCCCAAAATATCACAATTACATATTTCACCCTTAGATGATGTAGAAATCTGTAAGTCTGTAATAATTTTTAACTTACCTGGAATACTGCTCAACAATGCGTCAATGTACACATCCATTTCCATCGGTAATGTGTTCGTTTCGTTACTCTTGGGTATCGTTATCAAATCCGTACACAAACTCTGGATGATTTCGTCTGCCTTCGATATGACAAATCCCTCGATTGTGTTGCCTAACGATAACAGTATAGCCTTGACGAAAGGTTCTTGCAAGAACGGAGAATTTGTGTCTGCCAGTAACTCGCACATAATGTCTAACAGAGTTTTGGTAATGGGAAGTTTTATCTCAAATTCATCCAATTCATCTATAATATAATAAAATAATAAAGAATGTAACAAGCCCTATTTATGATGAAGTTGCACAGTAAATCAATGATTTATACTTGGCTCCAACTGTCATTTGTCTATTATAAAAGACCAGCAAATTATTATTTTTATAGTTTTATAAAAGGCATATGATAAAAAATAGATAAAAATGCTTACTAATTTTGTAGATTTGAAATATTTTTAAAAAATCATTATTTAAAACTTTTTAATAAAAAACTTTTGTTATTGTTGAAGCACTGTGTTTAGTTTATGAGTTTCAATAACTTCTGACTGACTTAGTTTAAGTGAACTTCATAATAGCAATACACCTGATGTAATATGACAAGGTGAGCAAAAAACAAATGGCCAACATTAACTCAAAGAAACAATAATGGTCGAATCTGTCACTGCTTTATTTTATTACATTTATTTTAGTTTCCAGTTTATTGTTGTTTGTAATATATTAGATAACGGCCTTCTGTGTGAAGTACAATTTTTTATTGGAATTAAAATAGAATTTATTAGCGCAGTGTTCTGTTTTATTAAGGGGTTACACCACTGTAGAATTTTCAAAAAATCGTTTTTTTTTTGTTTGCTTCAAAGGTAGTTTGAACCTTCTGGAATATGAGGCAAAAGGTTCTATAAATGAAAAAACTTTTTTTTTTAATTTTGCGCTTTTCCTGAAGCGTGTCGGGTGTCTCTCATACGTTATGAACATACTCGCTCGGAAGGTACCGGTATGCGTGTACAAATTAAGCAAAATTTTCAAACAAAAGTACTTTAGTGTAGTGTCAGTGCCCGTTCATGTCTAAAACTCATTTTAAAACTTAAACGTGTTTTTCTCGAAACACGTTTTTTCAAAACGGCACGCACCATAACTCCAAAAATTTTCAATATTTTCTTTTGAAATATTAACCACATATTTAAAAACAACATTTTGAAGAGAAACACGTACGGATTTTCCAATAAGTTAATTTAAACAATTGCTATAAACAAATGACTGCCCTTTTTCGTCTACAATTTAACGTTTTACTTCAAACACTTGCCAATTTACAAAAAACAATATTTTTACAATCCCGTACGTGTTTCTTTAGCTATACTCATGTAGATTAAAAGCAATTTTTTTTTGTTTCATCTTGAATTTTGCACTAGTTCTAGTGCATGCCGTGGAGCGCCTCAACGGCAACATTCTTCAGGAGATGGCTCCTTTTCTATTACCTTTCCTTCTATTAAACAAAAAAATTGTCAAAAACACGCTTTTTTAGGCCGTTACAGTGGTGTAACCCCTTAAGTTTACTTTTATAGAAAAATTTAACGGTATTTAGTGAAGTGTTTGTGTAGTAAAATCATTTATTTCAGTGTTTAGTGATGATATGGTGTTTGTGTCTTCATTGTTAAAATTGTGTGTGATATAGAAACAAATCAAAAAATAAGTTTGAGAATGCTGCATGTAAACTCCCGATTGGGTGCACTTGATAGTTTGAGGCTACATTAATCTGTTAAGCAACAGGGAGTGAAAATTACAAAAAAACAATTAAATTCTGTTTTCATAACATTATTTAAGAAAGCAAACTTATGATTTGTGCTTTTAAAGGTCAAAGGTAGCCTTGGTTCAAATATGACTCATATTTAAAGGTATATTAACACATTTGACATATTTTAATGTGCAGGACAGTACTGAATGACGAAGAGCACATTTTGGTATAGATTCCCAAAATATTTCTGTAATACGTTCTTATATGAACACTTTTTACAATTTTATAAACATTTTCTCCCATTCACTGTAACATGTACCAGGCTTTGTTGTCTTGTTTTACAACTACATACCAACACATAACCACTTGTGTGAAAATTCCTCTATTCCCTGCAAATAGAGCCACTAAAGGAGGATTAGGCACAGACTCCACCAAAGCGGAGACGAGACGAGAGGAGAGGAGATGTGTTAGAAACAACCAATAAGATTTCCTTATTTACATATCTCGTCTTCGCTTAGCTTCAGTGGATGCGGTTGAGCAGAGAGGAGAGGAGATGTCTCATATTTGTTTAGCGCGAACAAAACAGAGATGTAAGCTGTGCCTCACAAATTGGCGAACGCGCGCAGCGGAGGCGAGAGGAGATGTGAGCGTGCAGGCTGCGACGAGCGGCTGCTCTTCAGACTCTAGTTCTTCTTCTTCAAGTAAAACAAGATACAGTTTTTGGAATAGTGACATGACTAACGTCTGCCTTTCGTGCCAGATCGCACTAAACTATACGTATGTTCGCTCATCTCAATATCCAACGCTCGCCGCACGCAGCTCAGTTGTTAAGCATCTCCTCTCCTCTTTGCTTCGCACATCTCCGTTTTGGTGGAGTCCGGACCTTATGAGAGAGAAATTGCATCTACGATATTCTAAATTATGACTCGTTTTCTGTTGAGTCGAACAAAAATGCCATCTCGTGATTTCCATGAATAGAGTGAAATGTATATGGAAGGAGGCAGGAAAATTAATAACAACAGAAAGGACAAGAAAAGTGTGATTAGAAGTAAAAAAAACATACTTGAAAAAACAATGTATAAAACAATAAAGAACATAAAATGAATAAAGCATAGGAGTAAAAAATGTGTTTAAACTTGAAAATAATATTTTTAGTTACCTTCAAATTCCAAATGGGGCGGAAACACAGCGCTACCGGAAGCTTGGAAAGTATCCAGAGAATCTATCGCCTCATAGGCTGTGTCAATTTCTGTGTCTAAAGTGCAGTACTCTTTTCGTTCGGTAAGTAATTTTTTCATGCGGGTCAAAATGTCTGCTTCCTAAAATGTTTGCATTTAGTTTGGGAAATTTTTAAATCAAGACGACTTACAGTTTGATCCGACTGTATGAAAATCCAAGCATTATCCGACTGTTCCACCTGGATATTTCCTGGCAGAGCTGTTTTTATAGTGTTAATTGTTTTGTCGAATACACCAGTCGCTGTCTTGGCACAAAATTTGTAAAAACTGGGCATCACACCGTCTACATCTTCCACATCTGAGATGTTCTCCGTTTCAATAGATTTTTGGGGAAATTCATCGGGCGGCCTAGAAATCATTAACATCAACCACTTTTAACACAACACAATTTTTATAAATACTGGAGGGGTAAAATATCAAAAATATTTCGCTAAAAGGCAGAAATCTAGAACTTTACAAAGTTAGTTCTGAGTTTTTTTATTACAAAAGGGACTAGATCTCACAGATCGTAATGTTATCTTTTATCAACTTTTATACTTTGAGTGATCATGCTAAGAAAATTAGTGCAGTTAGTTGGTTATTTCAAGCTAAGCTCATTACTTTTGGGTCACCTTGTATAGAAAAACTGTTAAGCCAAGTTTATACCTAACATTAAAAAACGTTATCCTATCATTTGCTGATGATTTTTTGGTTCCATAATATTTAGCCTGTACAAATCTGGAAACATAAATGTGTTAAGACATAGACAGAGCCCTCTGTTAAGAAAATGAATCGCAAGTGTAACAAATACACCAAACTTACATGGGGCTTAATGCAGGTGTCGACAAACTGGACTCCGAAGATCTCTGCTGTAAAAGAGATCTTAGCTTTGCAATGCTAGTCGCTAGATCCGCTGTGTCTTCATATTCTGGGTCTGGACTATCTGTTCCAATTTCAGGCTGCTCCATTGATATGAAGGGAATTTGTAGGTCTTTAGGTTGAACGCTTTTGTCATCAGAATTTTTTGGTTTTTCCTAAATGAAAACATGATTAAAACGTGAAAAAAGTACAGAGTAAACCATGGAAATTTAATACATTTTTAAGGAGTACACTAAACATGATTACACGTAATACTTCTGAACGTACTATAACAGTGACAGCTATTAGCAATTTTCTCAACAGACAGAAAACATAACCTAAATTTTTTTTAAAACACAAACATAAATGTTCAATATCAGCAATATCACTTTTTGGGAAGGATGAACTTTAAGGAACTGTGTGATTTCTTTGAGCAAATCAAAGAGATGAAAACTTCAACTGAGAAAATTACACTTATCCGAAACCGTTTCAAAGAATTTCGAGAATCCGGCGTCGAGTCGTTTCCAATTTTGAGACTGATTTTGCCTAATTTGGACCGAGATCGAGATTCTTACAACATGAAGGAAGCAAAGGTGGCGAGAACCCTTATAAAAATGTTGGATTTGCCACCGGGAAATGATAAAACCGTCCTCAGTAAGTCTTTCATGATGGCAGGACAAGCTGCTGATTTTGGCGACGTTGTTTATTCTGTGATAAGAAAGTATTTATCTATCTTTAAAACCACTTTAACGATTCAAGAACTTAACATATTTCTCGATGATTTAACTAAGAGAAAGTCAGAGTCTGAAGCTGAAGAGATATTGATGAAGATTTTTAAAAAATCATCACCAGAGAATATAAGATGGATTATAAGAATCATTTTAAAAGACTTAAAACTTGGAATTGGCTCTAACAGCATTTTGAACAGCTACCACAAGGATGGTGCCTCATTTTATGCCAGTAATAACAGTTTGAGAAAAGTTTGTGAAGTCTTGGCTAATCAAAATGTAAAATTACATGAACTAGAAATAGAAATCTTTGAAGCGTTCCGTCCTATGCTCTCTAAGAGAATCGATGCTACAAACTTCAAGAAAGGGTTTCCAGAAGACAAATTATTTTACCTTGAAAACAAATTCGATGGGGAAAGGTTTCAATTACATATGAGTGACGACAAATTTAAGTATTTCTCAAGAAACGGTTTTGATTATACAGATAATTTAGGAGAGTCATATGAAACAGGTAGGTCAAAATTACATTCACAAATATTTTATAATATACGAAACAATTTTAGGTATTCTAACACCAAAATTGAAAGGCTTATTTAACGATAAAATAAGAAGAGTAATACTTGATGGTGAAATGATGCTCTGGGATAATAGAAAAAATAAATTTGGTTCAAAAGGCATGACTTTGGATGTCAAAAAACTGAATGAAAAAGGACCTTATCAACCTTGTTTCTGTGTTTATGACATTATTCTACTAAACAATGAAATTCTAACGAATAAACCCTTAAAAGAGAGGGTGGGACAACTCAAAGGAACTCTAAAAAGAGAAAAACCTGGTGTGATAATGTTCAGCCAAATAAAGGAAGTTAGCACCAGGCAAGAGATAATCGACGAGTTGAACAATGCAGTGAATAAAGAAGAGGAAGGTATAATTATTAAGGACCCAAATTCTATTTATAAATACAGCGATAGGAAAAGCGGTTGGTTTAAAATGAAGCTGGAGTACTTTGAGGTAAAATTAACGCAATAAAGCAATATATTTATTATAACAAACTATTTTAGGATGTTATGAATGATTTAGACTTAATCGTGATGGGTGGACAATATGCTAGTTCAACGTCGGACCAACTAAATTCGTTTGTGGTAGGCATTCGGTCTGGTTCGGCAGAAAACGGCAAGCCCCTGTACTTAGCACTCGGCAAAGTCAGTTCTGGTCTCACCGATGTCGACCTGGACAACTTAAATAAGAAACTAAAGTCGCAAGGTGCCGATTTTGCAAAATTTTCATCTAAAAACTTATCGTTTGGTCGGGAAGTTCCAAATATTTACATCGAACCTGAATTTTCGTTAGTGTTTCAAGTTAGAGCTACCGAACTGATCAAAACTACAGATAATTCTTTCAAAACACCTTACACCCTAAGGTTTCCAAGGGTTTTAAAAGTCAGAGAGGACAAACCTGTAGATGAGTGTTTGACAATAAACGAACTGATGGAGCTCACCACAAGCAATAAATCCGTTATAAAACTGAACAAAAGAAATATCGATTTGGAAGAGATACTGAGGACTAAGACCAGGAAGATGAAGAGAAGAGATATTGTCATGCCGACAATTTTAGACGACTCGAAAGTGTCGGATCTCTTAGAACGTTACACTATTTTTGTCCTAAATGGTTCGAAACAATACGATAAAGAAAAAATCGAGAACCTAGTAAAAAAAGCTGGTGGTACTGTTTCTTATAGAGTCAACGATAAAGTGGACATTGTCCTTGTGGGTACACACACGGAAAAAATTAAAGAAATTACTTGTACCAGGAATAAATTCGATGTAGTGAGCACTGACTGGTTGCACAGAGTTATTGAAGATGGAAATCTTCTAGGATACGACGAAGAAGAAGTTTATAGCTTAGGGTACAGCTACAGGAATTGTTTAGCCGATGAGCTTGATATATATGGCGATAGTTTCACCACTGAAGTAACAGTGACAAAATTGAAAAAGATTTTTAGCAACATAACTGTGATGAAGGAATTCAGCAATCGGAATAGTATGATTTCGTTGAAGTCAAAGAGAAATTTTGAAGGCCACATAGCATATTTCGATAAATATTTACAAATCGATGACGTGCACAGTGATAATGTTTATGAATCGTTTCTGGACGAACTGGAATTTCGTTACTACAATGGGTCGGTTAGTGATAAAATAACTCGGCATGTTAATATGGTCGTTTATGAAAGTGAAGAAAGGAAAAGTATCATTGACGATTACTTAAATTCTATTAACAGGAGTGATATTAAGGCTGTTCCAAAAAGTTTCATTTATGATTAGGGTTCGTAGTTAGGCCTGCGAAAGCAATAAAGGAGGTGAATTATAAGACTGAGTTTTTTGTGGATTTACAAGTTTTTAGAGAAATTGTTCTTGGAATTATTTCTTTCTGTATTTCTGTAATACCTTTTATACTTTTTTTGATGTAATAAACTTGTTATTTAGTACAATATTTGTTCTAGAATATGACTCAAATGATGATTATTGCTTAGATTTTATCAATTCAATTTTATTTGAAGTGCAACTTAAATGAATAATTCATTCGTTCTAATCAGAGATCAGTTTTATTAAAAAAAAAAGATTCGTAAAGATTTTCATTGTGGATAATTTATATCCTCTTTTGTATCATTATTAAATTTTATATCTTTAGGGGTAACACCACTCTAAAATGCTAAAATAAAGCGTCATTTTAAGATTTTTTTTAATGGATGGAAAAGTAAGAGGATAATAATATTCAAGGATATTATTAACCATGTCTTTAAATGTTAAAAAAATGTATTCGTTTATAGTATAAAATTGGCTCTGGAGTCATTTTCTCGAGGCATGTTGAATTTGAACTGCTCTGAGACACGCAGTATAAGTAATGCAAAGGATCCCGCCGGAATCTTTATGTAAATTGGTTTTGGTCAAATGGTTTGAAACCAGGTGGTTTTTGTAGCTTTTGAGTGGTAGATTAATAGTGTCAATGGGCGTCAAGCCCTAAAAATTTGTGGTTCAAACTTGCAGCTCGCAGAAGCTACAATGTTTTAGATTTCACTACTTGCATAGTAAAAAAATACTACATTTTGGCTCAATACCCAATAACCCAATAAACCAATAAACTATCGCCGACATATCGAGATCTCTGACTGAAAGGGTTAAAAACGATATTGAGATGATCTTCCAGATCACAATCACTACAATCGATTTTTTACGATTATCATTGTACAATAAAAATCATAGCGATTGCCGTCTGCATTTGCGTGACCCGATGTGCACCACGGGGATGTTGCTAGATCGGACTTAGCACATCATGTAGCCCTAAAAAGGGCTGATTTTCAGAATTGAAAGATCCTGTCTAGCAGGAATCTAATGCCTTAACCTAATACTTCAATATTATTTTCGTTCTTATTGCGTGCATCTGATGTTGAATTCAGCAAGGATTCATCGGGGTACTTGATATTATTTTGATGCCACGCATAGCTATAAAACCACAAAATGCAGACGATATGAGTGCATGTATCGGCATCGTCAGCGTTAATTCTGTCAGAAAAAGATATAAAATGCTCTATTAATAGTTTAAAAAATAATTCTTTTCTATCTCTCTTATCTCACCAATATGTAATCTTGAAATAGGATTAAGCAATTAACTAATGTTTACTTTTTTAAAAACATTTATCCATCAATACCTTTACAAAAGTACGAGAAACTTCATTTAATACTTTTGATTAATCGATTGATTGATTCAGAAGTACGTTTTGGTGGATTTAATGTAAAAAAATGTTAATCTATCTATTAATTCTTTTCAAATATATTAAATGATAGCTTAATACTTTTATGCATAAAGTAACATTTTATTTCAAAACCTCAGTATTTGCTTCAAGCCACTAATAGCAACATAATATTTTATGCATGCTGCGGCGACTAGCCGAACTTTAAGCCAGAAACAACTAGATGACGATAAAATCGCGAGGAAAAATGATAAAGAGTTTGCTGACGAGCATACAAATGAACGGAATAAGATGTTATTGCACATGTTTATCTGGTGACTGGACTTTAGGCACATGCGCTCGTATTGCCTGCATTTTTGGTTTTTAGGCTACAAGCGGCTTCGAAATAATATCAAGTACTCCGATGAATCCCAAGATGTGCTAAGTCCGATCTAACAACCTCCCCGTAGTGCACATGGGGTCACGCAAATGCAGACGGCAATCGCTGCAATTTTTATTGTACAATAATAATTGTGAAAAATCGATTGTACTGATCGAGATTTGAAAGATCATCTCAATATTGTTTTTAACCCTTTCAGTCAGAGATCTCGATATATCGGCGATAGTTTATTGGGTTGTTGGGCACTGAGCAAAAATGTAGTATGTTTTTACTATACTATGAAGGTGGTGAAATCTGAAGCATTGTAGCGTTAGCGAGCTGCAACTTTGAACCATGAATTTTTAGGGCTTGACGCCCATTGACACTATTAATCTACCACTCAAAAGCTATAAAAACCACCTGGATTCAAACCATTTGACCGAAAACCAATTTACATAAGGATTCCAGCGGGGTCGTTTGATTATAAAAAATTTTTTTCTTAATCTGGTTAGATTTTGAAAACATTAATTTTTGTATGATTGGCGAGCATTTGAAGTAAAAAGTTCAATTTTTGACAAAAAAAGAGGAATCGTTTGTCAATAAATAATGCTACAATCAACTCATCGAAAATCCTGTATTTACTTCTCTTTAGAGTGTTATTTTAAAGATATGGTCAAAATTTTGAGTGAATAGAACGAAACTTGTTGGAATTATGCTGCATGCCGTTTTAAAAAATCGTGTTTCGAGGAAACTGCCTTTAAACTTTTGACCACGCTTCTAATTGAACACAAACATTATGTTAGTAGTATTAGAGAAATTAGAAACCAAAAAAGGTAAGTCATTAAGCTATACCCTTTCAGCAGGTATCTGTAGATGCCCCAGGTAGTAATTTCGAAGCAGTCCAACGTGCTCGGGAAAGACTTCGGAATTTCAGATTAAAAAAATTTGTGCAAGCATAAAAAAATTAATTTTCTGAAAATAACCAGTGAAAGAAACGAACATATCAGTGAAAGAAACAAACATATTTTTTAAATGATTTAAGTATTAATAAATAACTTACCAATAATATCTGACCATCATAGTTGGGCGAATCTGTCTGAATAGGATTAATCCAAACAGACTCCAGGCTATCCTCCGAATTCATTTTTTCCGGTGACTCGGACCTGGCAAGTCTGGCAGGCTTCTTCTTCGGTTGTTGCTTGTTAGCGTTTGACGAAATGCTCAGAGTAGCCTTAGCGTTTTCAATGTTATCCTGTAGACCAGTAAGCCGAAGTCCTTTTCGAAATCCAGCTCGGCCAAAATCCAAAATGCCCTCCACCACCCCCGCCGCCTCGTCCTAAAACAACTGACAGTCTACACACCACTCAGTCATTTGTTTTCATAGTAAAGCGGATGGCTGATTGATGAAGCATTCTGTACAAAAGTAAATTTGAGAGAAGACAGTAAATGTTTTAATATCCAAAAAAATACATATTTATAAGATTTTTGCAATAAAGATCAAAATGTTCGCTGCATTCTCTCAAGTTTGAAAACAGTACAGTAGGAATTGTTATGCAGGGTGTTCTATGGCAGTTTCGCAGATGTGTAAAAGGGTAAATTAAAGAATAGTTTAGGGATTTTAAACATTTAAAAACATTCTATAGTCTGCTTTGAAATGATGTAGAGCAATAATTCATAATCGGTCATAGGTAGAGTTTGAGTAAATAAGGTAGTAAATACTTATTAACAAGTCAGTGCATCTAAAAATATTAAAATTATTGTCTTTATTAAGTTTTCAAAATGAAATTAATGAATTTATTAAACATTTTTCTGATTTATGTGATCTAATGGAATTGTAATAAAATATCGCATTTGTGATATAATTTTGTTGAGCTACAGTTCCTAAAAGACATTGCAAGTCAAATTCATAAAAGAAATTTACCCTATAGCTGCTATACTGGGTATTTTTATTATATGACCTAATTTTTATATTCAGGAAGTGTAATATTCCGATGTATAGAGACCACTGTGAACAATTTCAATTATTTTGGCAGCAATAAGTAAGTCGGAGGCCATGAAGATCTATTGATCTCTAGTAGCTAACGAGTAAACTTTTGCTGTAAACAAAAAGTGATATTAGACAGACTGTTAACAGTGTTAAAGGCACCATCAGGTATAGTCTTTCCAATATCAATTGAAGAACCAAGAGGTTGACAATATGTACCAGGTTCAGTCGCTGACGCAGCAACTTGGCATTGAAATATTTGAAAAACTTGTTCCCATATTTATTTAGCCATACCTATATACAGGTCTGGTCGAATTAAACATGGATGTAGTAGAAATGTATACGCCCAGTTGAAGAATGGGAGCACGGGCAAACGAAATACAAACACAGCTGCATTGGTCTACTGGGCAATAAATCTCAGCTGTTGACAAGTGGCTGACAAATTGTCCAGCAGTGCAGTGCAGCAATGCGGAGTTTGGTGTGATTCAGGTAATTTTAATTTATTATAGGCACCTTCTATTAATCATTCATATAATTGCGAAAAGGAGAAATAATAATATTACAACATGGCATATTGGAGACTTTCTGAAATGGAACAAAACGAAATTTACCATTAATATAATACAATTATTTGGGGACATAATTAAAATATGTTGTTGGCCAAATGAACATATAGTAGAAATTTTCTACACATTATACAATATAAATTATTATAATTTTTTACCTTTAGCAGAAAACTTTTTTTAGGGACGCATATTATTATGAAAGTCATTAAATTTGATTATTAGGCGTTTTTTGACATGTTCAACTGACTTTGGAAAAACTATAAAGGCTGTGGTAAAATACTAGCGCTAATTACAATGTGGAGGGAGATTTACTGTCATTTGTATCTATCATTAAAATGTGAACGCATATGTTTTTTATGAATATTCCGAACGAATGATAGATTTGTTATTGTAATGGTTAAAACTAGTTACCAGTAAAGACTTATTGAAAAAACGCTTATTATTTTTTAGAGGAAATACTATAATAATTCAATGATTATTAGATAAATATAACATGGTAAAAAAATCATAAAATCATTATACTTCGACTGACATTCTACCAATGAGAGTTTAACTTGCTGAAATACATGTAAAATAAGAGAAATTGTAATAAGAACAGAGGCAAGAATGTGGGAGTTTGCTGGTGTTATTGATGGAATAGTAAAACCTATCGTTATTAATCTGTAATAAGTCAGTTCTCAAGAATATTCTAATGAAGTATATTTTAATTTTGAGGTTTTATTACTCTATCTCATTCCAAAACAAAATACCTATAAATTATTTGTATAATTTGTTTGTAATATCAAAATTCTATTCTTCAAAGCCTTCATAAATGATTACAAGCCACGTGACCAGTAATTTTATCGGTAAAATTAAAAATTACATAACATTCTATTTCACCGGCTGGTGTAATTTTTCATGAAATTCTATTCAACCAATCAGTGATCTCATTATCTCGAGCAAAGAAGTAACAGTTTGTCATTGTTCATTGTAAACGATTTATTAATACTGGCTCAGCGGTCAAGTGGCTTGTGAACATTTATGAAGACTGTATACTTGTCTAAAAAAAGTTAGTGAGTAGTTAATCAACTACAATTTTATTACAAATATAACTTGTTCTTGAACAAAGCCTACAATAAACAAGCAATGTAGGTGATTTTTTTTAAAATTTGTAAATAAGCATATAAGTAAAACCTCTCAAGTAGCATGCACATACCTTTTGCTGCAATTCGATGTATGTACGATATACAATACACAACAAGTGGATGTATGAAAAGTGTAATAAGTTAGACAGTGTAACATTTATAACAAAGACATAATTTTAGAAATTACCTGGAAGTCGCCGATTTTGTTTAGCGCGTTATTTACTGTGGATTCTTGAAGGTCCTTGATGTTGTGCAAAGTATGCACTGTTGCATCACCTAATACACAAATAATAATTTTTTTCTGTAATGCAGATACTAAAAGTAAACTTACTGATTGGCTTGATGGAACTTTTCAAGCCTTCCATTGTGGTGTGTGTTGTGTGTTTCATTTCATTTAACAAAATATTAGCAGCTGTTGGTGGCGATCCGTCACTACTGTGTTCTGCTCTTACTAAAAACGTTATGACAAAATAAAAACAAATTTTATCGTCATTAACAGCTTACCCGTGTCCCAAAATGTACTTTTTCCAATAGGTCTTCCTGTTTCAGGGATACTTTGTAAAGCATCCAATGGGTCTTGGCCCAAGGATATACCAAGGATGTCTTTGGAGTCATGCCAGGTTTTGGTATTTCTGCTTTTTGGTTCATATATTTTTACAGGATCAGTTCTAGTTCTGTGCTCTTCGATTGGTTTTTCTTTAGGTTCTTCTGCCACATCTATTCTCTGGAAATTATTAATAATACAGAAGAGACAATAAATAATCTGCTATATCTTTTAATAAAAAAACATTCGAGAACTCACTTTCTTTAAAGGGCTCCTTTTTCTCTCTACAGACAAAAAATGATCTTTCTTCGGTGATTTTGTTTGAACTGATTCATTTTTCTTTGGCAAAATTTCAGTTTTAACTTCTATTTTTGCTTCACTAGTTTCAGCAACTTTTAAAATGTCCACTGTATCTTCTCCCTCTACAGGGTTTCTAACACAATCTGTCTTTTCAGTGCTAATGTCAATAGGTTTATCTATTTGCTTTGGTTGGTCTTCAGTCACTTTTTGAGCATCTTTTGAATCTCTTACATCATAGTATTGCGTGATTGATATTCTGGTGTATTTTGATAAGTTGTACTTTTCCTTAATACCACTAGAGGCAATCAGATTCAGGAATATGTAGTTTAGTATCTCTGGATTCGAACTTAAATTTAGGATATGTAATACAAGTTTTCTGGCTAGAATTGACACGAGCACGTGACATGGTAGAGAGTTCCATAGCTCGGAATTTATGAAATGCCTGAGTAAATTTGTTGTCAGCTGGTGTATGAAGTAGTCTTTAGGCTTTGACGAACTGCATATATGAGAATATCTGCAAAAAGCAGAATGAAGGTTTTGATGTAAGTATATTATGTAAAATTGATTTTTTACCTGTATAACTCTTCAATATTCCCATTATATTTTTCTTTTCTCTTCAAACTTCTGCGAAACTCTTTCAAATGTTTCAAATAGATATTCAAGAACCCATGCAACAAAACTTTATTATTAACAGAGAGCTGCACCTCTGCTAACCTATTAATAACCTCTTCTAAAAACAACTTGCTTTCTTCTGTAAAATCATCATCCTTACTTATGTTAGTGTACCACTTATTGATAAAATATCTGTCGATATCTTTTGTTAACTCTTTTACTCTATCGGGATTAGGTTTTAGCTCACTCTTTTGTTTTTTCAGAGTTGTTTGCTTGGCGTTAAATTTTTTTAAGCTAAATTCCAAAGGCTCGTTTTTCTGTAACAACTTATGCAGGCCAACCAACGTCAGGCACATCGAGGTGAACCACACGAGCACAGAGCATATTATAAATGTTAGGCAACTGACGGGCAAAATGGCAATTTTAGTGTTTAATAGAGATGTGAAAGCCAGTAAACAAAAGCCAAGGAGCGAAATTTTCCAGTCTAACAACACATTAGCTACTATAGACATACTTCAAACTGAATAGATACCTAACTGATCAATAATTTGTTGATATGTATAACACGAGTTATCGTGCATTTACGATATCAATTGTATCTCTAGTCTTCCCTTTTTCTAGTCATGTGTGGTGGAGATTATTTATATTCCAAATTTTTTATGTTTTTTGTTTACATTTTTTTCCCCGTTTATATTTTGATTTTTGACTTTGACATTAATATGACAGCTGACACTACTCCACTGCTGACAGTCGAAAGTGTAACAAATTCCAGTAAAATTTTGTTCTGTGATGCCAAAACTTTTTTTTATAAATGCATTTTGCATTTAAATTTTAAATGCTATACAATTTTTAATGCTAGGGAACAACATAATGCAATACACAACAGTAAAATTAGAATATATATATTTGATTTGTTAAATGCAGAGGAATGTTTTATTTCCTCTATTAACTCGCCATCTTATAGCAAGCTTTCTAACTTTATGCAATACAAAAAAGATTACTGGTTTTCTATTTTTAATGGCGGTAAAACGTTGACTGAAATAATTCAGATAACGGTGGTAATAGGAATATTTAACATTTTTTTAAAGAGTTCAGTTCAATAAGGAAATGAGACCAATTATTTTCTGCAGAAAAATCTTGACCTCTCTCGGAAAATACTCTTCAGCCTCGCAAAATATTCTTTGAATTCTTATTGTCATTGAAAATACCTAGTAGTACATATAATAATTGATTTGATTTAAGGCTAGGTTGGCTAGGTAAAAAATGCACAGATATTATACAAAAAACTTTAATAAAGTTAAAAGTGCAGCCCAATTAAGTACCTAATCACGTTTAAAGTAAACTTTATTTTATAAACAAATGCCGTAACTTGTTAAAATAAATAAATAAACATCTGAAAATATATCTATATCAAAAACATTTTATTGATATATGAGTTATCTCATAATTATAACTTTTTAATACAAATTTCGCTTTTGCTCCAGTGAATCCTTTCCGTCTGTGAATATTCTAGATATACCTAACAAACCAATCGATTAAATAAATTGTAGAAAGCGAAAAAGTGCGTGACGTAATTTATTTGAATCTAGACTGTCGGTGATAGAGAAAGTAATATGTATGTATAACAATGCATTGATCGTACGGCAATTGAAGTTATAAAAAATACTATACCGATTCTATTTTGACGCCAGTTGATAATTATTACCTTGATTTGACCCTAGAAGTAACAGACGCGTTTTATCAAAACTACTTTAACGTGAAACACTAGTGAGGAATTCTTTCTCCTATCCAAGGAAAGTGATATGGTAACTTACCTCAAAGTGCGTGAGTTAAAATAGCGTTGTGAAACTGTGATAAACACCATCAGTTTTGCAGTTTACTTTCATCTATTTGGACTACCTCCAATCTTTTGGTAGTTTTGGGTGAGTAACTAAATTTACTACATTTAGAAATTGTACTATATTGTATAAGAATTTTACGTAACTGTCAGAAAGTTTTCCCGGAAAATGTTACGCGCTGGTTGGTAAAAAAAATTAAGTGTACCAAAAGATGTGCAATTTTAATAACAGGTATAACTATAGTTTCGGGGGGTACACCCGCTATGTCATTACAGAGAAATTTTTCATGTGTTTCTTCACATGTGTGTCAATAAAATTAGATAAACGCATTAGAAACTTTACAATGCACCTGTGCTATTGCATAAAAAGTGCAAGGTAAAGAGAGTTTTCTTGTGGATTTTATATAGGAAACCTTTGATATTTGAAAAGTGAAAAACAAAGTATATTTGTTAACTTTAAAAATAAAGTGGAATTCTCCTAACAGTTGTTTAAATATAACCAGTGGCGTCGAAAATAGGGGTTTGGAGACATGATTTTAGAAAACAGTGCTATCCGAAGTCGGACAACACTTTATTTTATTTTCCAATCGAAATTTTTATCTACAATTTTTTTAGTAAAATGGGATAATTCAGTTGATTCTAATCACTGGGAAATTATAGCTAGATAGATATACTTTTAAAATAGCTACAATAGATTGATTGATTGATTTTTAAAAGATACCTATTGTTTGCTTACAAGAAGCATTATTATTACGCTATTTATTCATTACTTATGACGACCTGTCAAAGTAATAACATCTTATGTAATAGAGTAAATTTTATAGTTCGTCAGATAATAGAAAGTTCGTATTTCGATGATCAGAAATATTTTTCATTATGCAAATCGAATATTTTATGCATAATTAATCATTAATCAGACTGATCTACATTCGCTTAACAAATATCTGATATACATTAATCTGGAAATATAGGCTATATCGTTTCAAACTTTTTAGCCCATTATCCCGAAAACCAAAAAAATATCTAAATTTAATTTACAAGAAACGATGAGAAGAATGAGAAAGATATTCAAAAACGGTTTCCTAAAAATCTTATCAAAATCTAGTTACCTATGCAAAATATACATATAACCTCATCCTTAACTGATGATTTTGCGGAAAACAACCACTAGCTATATGCTCCGACTAGCATTGAATTATACCAACAATACCTAGTAACCAGCTAGAAATTAGTAATCACCTAAAATAAAAATTAAATATGATGTGTCTAAATATTATTAATTCAAAAATACATATGTACTTGATATACCGAAATTATATTGAATAATTTGGTATCTCTTGTATTCTTATAGCTCTAATATCACCCTCCACAAAGGCCAACACGCAAAAATAGCAAAGTTAGATAAGATCTTACTATTTCTGCATTTTATTTACTTGTATACTACACGTTCGGAAAGTTCCCATGGTGCATCGGCCGTTACGTGAGAGCGATAAAGTAAGTCATAGAAATCCGTGCGATAGACAACGATGGTTACATTGAAGACGTTTCATAATCTGAATAGTCACTCCCATTTCTAAGCCGAAACGGGCGGTGACTATTCAGATTATGAAACGTCTTCACTATAGTCATCCTTGTCTATCGCACGGATTTCTTTACTTTACTTCGTCGCTCTCAGGTAAAGGCAGATGGACCATGTGGATTTTCCAACCCTGTATACTAAAATGTACGTTATACAGGGTGATTCATTAACAATGGGAAAATCGAAGGCTGAAGATACTACACGTGAAATGGTGACCATTGGCGCAAACATGCCTTATCCGAAAGTTGATAGTTTCGGAAATACAGGGTGTTGAAAGTTAAAATTTTAAAACATTTTTTTGCGATTATTCTGAAAATATGTAGGTTAGGAACTTGAAAATTTGTGAAACTATATTTTTTTAGGCGACAAATAAGATGCTTGTAGTAATTTCAGCATTGCTCATAGAGGGCGCCACTTACAACCAATTTTCCGGAAAATTTAGTTAATAACTTTTTACCCTGTATGTCTAACATAAAACTTGATTCAAAACCTGAAAGAACAATCATTTTTCCATTAATTGTGTATTCATGTTTCATTTCGGTATCTCGATCCGCTTTCGAGAAAAATCGATTTAATGAACACTATGTTTTGATAATACGAGAAATTAAAAGCGAAACAAACCAAGTGTTTTTTCGTGTTATTACAACAATTAACAATAAAGCAAATGAAATTCGTAATAAATTGATAATAATGATCAGTGTTCGAAGAATCCACCGTTGACATTTACACACTTTACACAACGTTTTCTGAGAGATCTTCGAATTTGAAACAACATATTGGCATTGCGTTTGATTTCGTTAGCAGCGATTTGTATCTTTTGCCACAACTCTTCACACGAACCAATAGATTCTTCCAAATAGAAAAATGAAGAGGATTGAAGTCCGGACTTCTGGGTGGCCAAGTAAAAATGCTTCCACACCTTGAAGAAGTTCCACTTTATTTAAGAAGAGACATGTGGTTCATGCACGACGGAGCTCCACTGCATTTTTCTTGGCCAGTGCGTGCATATTTAGATGCCCTTTCTCCAAATCGCTGGATTGGCCATATAAGCATTTTTGCTTGGCCATCCAGAAGTCCGGACTTCAGTCCTCTTGATTTTTCTATTTGCTCTCGATTGAAAGATATAGTTTACAAATAATCTATTGGCTCGTGTCTTCACACACAGTTGTGGCAAAGAATACAAATCGCTGCCAACGAAGTCAGACGCAATCCCAATATGTTGATTCGAGCTCAAAAATCTCTCAGAAATCGTGTAAAGTGTATCAGTGTCAACGGTGGATTCTTCGAACAATTACTTTAAATCATAATTACGTATTTTATTTGTTTTATTATTAATTGTTGTAATAACACGAAGAAACACTTGGTTTGTTTCGCCTTTAATTTCTCATATTATCAAACATAGTATTCGTTAAATCGATTTTTCTCGAAAACGGATCGAGATACCGAAATGAAACAAGAATACACAATTAATGGAAAAATGATTGCTCTTTCAGGTTTTGAATCAAGTTTCATGTTAGACATACAGGGTAAAAAGTTATTAACTAAATTTTCGGTAAAATTGGTTGTAAGTGGCGCCCTCTATGAGCAATGCTGAAATTACAACACGCATCTTATTCGTCGCCTAAAAAAATATAGTTTCACAAATTTTCAAGTGCCTAACCCATATATTTTCAGAATAATCGCAAAAAAACTATTTAAAATTTTAACATTCAACACTGTATTTCCGAAACTATCAACTTTCGGATAAGGAATGTTTGCGCCAATAGTCGCCATTTCACGTGTAGTATCTTCAGCTTTCAACTTTCCCATTGTTAATGAAACACCCTGTATATATACCTATATAATGTTAAAATAATTGTTTGCTTACAAGCATCATCCATTATGCTATTTAATAACTTATGACGATCTGTCAAAAAAATAATAGGTACCCATCATATGTAACAGATTAAAAAATATGTTTATTTAAAGAAATACAGAAACTAATAGATAGATCTGTAAATACAGATATTTCGTTTGAGCTTTCCAGTCTTACATTTCGAAAACTAAAATAGATATCTAAATTCTGTAAAAAAGTCGTGTATTGATTGTATACAAGGTGATTCAAAATGCAATATAAATTAAGGGCACTCTGATACATAAATTAGCGTTCGAAATTTGATATTTAGGGAGTTACGATTTCTTGAATAGGGTGAAAATATAATCTTTAAACGTTTTGAAAATGTCTTTCTCTACGATTATCATGGCTCCAATAGTATGATGTATT